GATGTGTTTAGGTTAACATTCCGTAAGTTGTGTGATTATGGGAATTCTACGCTGGCTGAGTGTCTTGACATTCAAACTTGGATATTGACCAATACATTAGGTGTAGCGCTTTCATAAGCTGGTAAGCAGTATTTATTATGGCATGTTAGCTTTATATATTATTTGTCTGTTTGACTTTTACTCAAGGTGACATTCAGTAAAATTACTTTAAACTGCCTTTCAATGTAAATTTATCCATAAAATGTGAAAATTGCACATACTGTTCTTGCTTATATTCACAAGAGTTATAGAAAAAAACCTTGGAAACCACAAACATCTAATCCCATTATTGTAGAGAGACACTATTTTAGAATTACAGAATTATAAACAAATTAGATGTAAATTATATCAATTTATGATAAGGGATCATCATTTTATGATCTAGGTTGATCTATACAAAAGCATCTATGCCCTCACAAAATTGTTTATTTTTGTTTGGTGTAAATTTGTTTTTTTTTATCAACTGTAGTCACAGTATGTACTCATTTGTATAATCTCATGTAAAACTTTTGCAATCTGTATGTAATGTTCCGGATGAGTGATTAGGGCTTTTATTCTGTCAATAATGACTGTCAACCGATGTTTTCTGAAGTATTTGTACTAACACCATCATAGTCAAAAGGGGTCATAGCATGAACATTTAAGAACACAACTCGACTGACGTGATGTCAAAGCATATACAGCAAAATCTTTAGATATAAGAACTCTAGTGGGAAATTGATTTGGTCCTAAGTAAAAAAATTGCAATCCTTTTCCTTTTTCATAGTACTAAATAACTTTCAAATGTTGCTTGTCTATGTTACTTTGAAGTTAATTAGAATAGTGGTTAAATTCCTCTTTCATTTTTAAGGAACATCTGTCACTGGTAAAGAAACAAACTTACATCCCTTTTCAGTGGGAGAGATCCCATCCCCTTTCATTGTCCAATCCTAAAGGTTGGTAGATTTCTTTTTTAAAGAAATGTATCCAACACAATCTTAGAAAAATGTAACTAATCTTGTTGTCTCATTCCTTGCACCAAATATAAATTTGAAGTCATTATGGTGAACATGCTTTTTTTTTAGACATTCTAATATTGGTTTGTTAATTACTGCACAGCCTTTTTGCTGAGTAGTATTTAGTTCTACAGAGAATCTTCTCTTCTCTTGTTTCGTATAAGCATGTACTTTTTCTTTCAGGTCATAATGCAGAGACACATAGCTTAAAAAATATGGTGTCCCTCTGAGATGTTCAAGCTAGTGACTTGGTTGACAGTGGTAATTAATACTATCTTGCAAAGTTCTTGTAATTTTTTAAACTCTGAAAGTTGAAGTCAAGCTTAGCCTTTCTGTTTTATCCTTGTGGCCTATTTCTGTCCTAAGTCAAGCCGGCAGAAGCTCAATAACTGTGAATTTTGAGAAAAATAATGTTAAATACCTGATTTTTTCTAGGTTTGAGTCGACAAACCACTCGGATGAAGTAAGTTTTTGCTTACTTACTGTTTTGTGTCCTATGTTAATATTTAAAAGCTTCTAGAATACACTATTGCGGTTCAAACCTATCATCTATATGTAGATATTTATTTATCTTGTTGTACTGATATGTTCTATTATTCCATAAATCAATAGATATTCAATATCGATGTTATCATTCTGTTTGTTTATCATTATAATGTATTGCTTTGAAATGTGTGATATAGAAATTTGTTTTTGAGGTGCCTGCTGAATATGCTGAGAATGCAAATAGTTCCTCCTTGTTTGAATTGAGTCATAATTGTCATCACAATCAATTCCAAAACCAGGTTTTTGTGGTTCTTTGCTAATCTTCTATACTTCAAGACTAAGTTTCCTTGCTAATCATAGCTTGATTCTTCTGTTACTGGGATTTTAACTACTTTATCAAGTGTTTGTTTTGTTCCTTTCTAACTTTTGCTCAATTATCTTTTAATCTGTTTCTGAAAGTAGTTTTTATTTAAGCATCTGAAATATCATAGTAAGAAAAAGGCTCATTGCTTAAGTTATCTTGAGAAGGCCAAGGTTATCAGAGCTGCCATTTATCTCCATTGCATCACAGGGATTTTAAAAAAGGAGATGAGAAATGCACCACAATGCATCCCAAAGAACACAAACAATAACACAAAAGACATTATGCAACCTTAATGCAAAATATACAAAATAGATGCATTTAGTTTTATCTAATAATCCAGCAGTTTATTTACAATTTTTCTTCTAATATTTGCTACACTGTGGTGCTTGCCACTCAGAAAATATATGGAGAACTTTTAGTTGGTATATTTCTGGAATCAAATTATTTCCAAGTTTTTATATAGAGTGTTAGGTATTTTTATTAGTTAACTGCCATAGATATAAGGACAGTGACAGCGTCTTTGGCGCAAATGTTTTTTTTCTTTTTAACTTAAAGTAAAATCTGTATGGAGAGTGTTTTGGAAAGTATTTTTCCTTTTGACTTTCATTTTCCCGTCTAAAAACCCATTTGATAATTATATGGGGGAAATGAACACGTGTTGACACTAGTCGTGAGTGATTGTGATAATTGTTATTGCTGCTACTGTATAGAGAGTGCAATATTAACGTTTAAAACATCGCTGGTAAATGAAACAGTTGTTTGGACTGTCGCGTGTGTTGTCGTAACTCTCTATCAATTACAGGAAAATTCTGGAGTTTCATCAATCGTTAACGTCCATGTAGGTCACGTGATATATAAAGCATATAATCGGCCCTGCCTCGCCCTGATAGAATTGTTTGTTTCCATAACCCAGGAAAATTACTTTTATAAAAGATGATCTA